CCGCCCCTGAGCCTCTGGCCTGTACCCCAGTTCTGTATGAATAAATAAATAAATCTTAAAATAAAAAAAAAAATAATGACTAACCAGAGAAACAAGAACTACAATATTAGCCATCATGTGAGACTGTAATTGGTTGGAGTCTAAGGTCATATATCATATTAGAGAAGGCAGAGCTCCCAGCCAACTGGAGACTTTACATTAAAACACAAAGAAAAATTTAAGGGCAATCAGTATGAACAGAAACAGATTGGAAATTCAGTAGAAGAAAACACCAACCTCAGAAAGGCAGAGTAAGTCAAAAGCACAATACATAATGGAAGAAAAATTAGGATAATCAAAATAATGGAAATTGATTACCCTTGACACAAAGGAAGAAATTCCGAAAGTACTTAAAAAAGAATTTCTTTCTAGCTCTCTGTATACTTGTCTGCATTATGATAAACTTCAGCTTCTCACATCATTACAAGTTGAAAGAAATCACAAGTTGGGTTAAGATCCTTGTACCAGATGTAATCCACTAAGTAATAATCTCTACAACAAAGTTCTGATTAGTCAATAAGAGAAGTGCAAATAATACATTAGTAATGATCAAGCAGGTCATTCAGCAGAGAGAATACTTAGGATGACTAGTAAACACATGAGAAGATACTACTTGTTAGTAATCAGGGACAGGTGAATTGAAATCACAGGAGATGGCATTTCACCCCCTTCAGTTTGATAAAACCAAATGTTGGTGGCCACATGGAACAACAAAACTTACATCCAGTGGCTCAAATGGTACCAAAAATGAGCCAAAGTGGTACACTGGCGCAACCACTTGGCATCTTAATACCTTGTAAAGATGCATCTGTGCTAAAACCTGCAATGCCACTCCCTTCTAGAGCCAGGGTTTCCAATTATGGATGCACAGGAAAACAATATGAGGAGCATACAAAACCAAGGCCAAAGTCCCAACACAGATCAACTGCCAGTATTGGTAATTTTAAGAGGCTCTTCAAGTAATCCTTCTGTGCAGCTAGAATGAATGAGAACCACTACTCTGGAGAAGCATTCCTGGGCACACAAGGATATTTGTTTTTAAGTAGTGACAGCAGCATTGTTAATGACAAGAAGTGGAGGTAACTTAAATGTCTACCAGCTAAAAAACAAGTATAAAATTGTTATAGTCACTGAATATATTAGCAGTGAAAATGAACTTGGCTACATAAACAAACATGAACCTTGCTGGAGCTCAAGCAGTAAGTTGCAAAATATTGTGTACCTAGCTGCTTTTTTTTTTTTAAAGATTTATTTATTTATGCATACAGAACTGGGGTACAGGCCAAAGGTGCAGGGGCAGTGACAGGATTTACCAGAGACAGAGTGGGGAGAACAGACTGATCTACGAAGTACACTGCTGAGGGGAGCATCGGGTGGATCAGGAGAGGTCTGCCACGCCATGTGGGTCACCTCCGGGTTGGGGAGCAAACTCATGTTGAAGTGGCTTTAGCTTCTTAGTGCTGTGCTTTCACCCACTGCGCCACCAGGGAAAACCCTGGCTTCTTTTTTTATTGTATAAAAGCAAGCACAGCAACACTCTATTTGAAAGCTAAATATGTAGTATAATTATGTAACACTAGTTACATTTCAGGGGCTCAATAGCCACAGGCACTGCAAAACAGTTCTAGAAGCAGCACACAGGTACAAATTTAAGTCAGGAGGGATTTACATGTGTTCTATTCTAGGAATGAGAATTAGAAGATAGATATGCAATCCTGAGATGCCACGCATAGGATATTGTAAATGGTGCAGTCACAAAAATAAGTATCACACACGGACTCACACTCGCTGTTCAAAAAAAAGACAATGTTGCTAATATGGAAAGGATGACTTTTATTTCCATCCTGAATGATTATCACACCATTATTTAAACACATCTGGAAAATCCTGAAATAATTTAAACTGAAGGCACAGAACAAATCAAAATATTTAACTAGTTAAGCTTAAAATGAGGAAATTCAAATATTTCAACAGTAACAATAAATTATGAACAAGTTTCCATCACCAAATATCATTCTGACCAAATGCTAGCTTTTTTTGTGTGATAAAATGTAGCGCTTAAGCTGGCTCCAAGATTTCCTTGATAAAAATAATATTGAAAAAGTTCTTCTTTTAAAATACTCATTATACCACTGAGTTCAATCAAACGATTTTTCATATAATAAAGTAGCAGTAGGATATTTGCTGATGGATGGTCACTCCCCAAGAAATGATGCATTCTTATAAAATGTTTAAAAAAATAGCAAAGTAGGTTATAAAATTCTATTTGGGAAGCAGGAAAAAAACTTGTTCCATGTCAATTAGAATATCAAAGCATTTCAATATCAAATTGCTTCAAAAGTCAATCATCATGTTACAGTAATATACTGTAGGGGGCATCCCACTGCATCTTGGTTAAATGTTGACCACACAGTGTAGCTAAGGGGTTGAACAAGTCAGTAGCAATTATTGTTGCCATTTCTTATTTATTCAAAAGTGATATGTTTAAAAAACCATTACAAAACTAACTGGAATAATCAGTGACATGCTACAGATACAATAAACCCCAGCAATACAACTGCTAAGTTTGAAAATAAAGTGGTCATGCTTTATCATATACTGCAGTATTTTGAAATACATTCTCTGATAATCAATACTATCTGTTACAGAGGTCACTTGTAAATTAGCTCAGATTCTGAACTAGGTTTCTAAATGAAACTTTTTTCAAGTATGCATAATATTAATAAGGTAAAGATACTTTTCTCTTATTCACTTCTTTATGTATTCTTCTAAGGACAACCTTGTTGAGTAAAGGACAAACAGAATGGGCTAGTCATAGCTTCCAAAAACATTTCAAAAATATAAAAATTTAGTGACCAAGAACTGACTGATACTAACAACTAAAAACTACCATTTGAGATGAAAACTGGAACTTTTCAGTCTTTTTTGGAAATAATTAAGTTTATAAGAAAAGCAATAGCTGGAAAAAATAAGGGTTCCAAAATACTCAAGGCTCTTTCTTAGAATAAAATAAAAAAAGTCTACCTTTGCCTACTTAGCTATGAATGTGTACTTGGTAACAATATGGTTTCATCTTCATTATCTAATTTAATTGCTTATCATAAAAACATTTCCAGCCAAGATTGCTGATAAATATAATACAAACTCTAGAAAAAGATTTTTAGCAAAAACTGCTTCAAAACTTTCCTACATAACAAAAACATTCCTTTGGAAATGAATCTTTAATGCTTTTGGACTGTTCAAGTAAATGAAACTTTTACCATCTCCAGCACTAAACTATAATTACCTCCCAAATTCCTTTGTCACTGGATAACATTATCCTTTATTCTCTACTATTCTAATAATGTTACATAATTAGAAAGAATCTCTTTAGTGGTATCAGACTTAATGTCTTCATCATCTATGAGCACTGAGAGATTAAAGTAAAAATAAGCCAGAAAAATCACCTTATAAACAGTACAGAGTTCTGAAATGTTGGCACCTATAAGTGGGAGAGGGTTATCATCCAAACTTAAATGTCTCCACTGGTTGCCACAGTGGCAGCAAATGCTAATGCTACTACACTAGGCTGAGTACATGCAACTCATTTATGATTCAGTTATTCAAAACAAAGAACCACTGGTAGCTCACTAGTCAGCTGGTTGGGTCACAGTTTGAGCAGGCTTCATTCATTATTACCGATCACATTCTGACAACTGAGAGTCTAGTTTCTGAAAATACAAACTCACAAGAGTTAGTGGAAGACTTTCAAAGCTGAAAGAAATGTGGCTAACTTGAGGAAAATCATTTAAATAAAAACAAAAGGACAACCTTAGTGGTTTTGGCCCTGCACATACCAGCTTAGTAGCTCCTAAGAACCAGAAACAATGAGACTAAACGTTTTTCTTTCTAAAACCTAAAAAGGGAAGCTTTTGACTAAAAGTCAATTTCAAAAATCTACACCAGGCTGCCTGGCCAACAAATAACTGTCAGAGTGACTTTGTTCCTCTGCTCCTTCAACATGGGCACCAATGCGGAATGGCTCATGCCCACAGTCGACAGGCCATTCACAGCCACAATCATATCTCCACACCTGGAAGAACAGAGACAGACTGTTACTATAGTCATGTTATTAGATATATAATCCAGAGATTTTACTCAGCACGCAAGTCAGTCTCACTTAACCATCCACTAATTCACTGATGATTAGGGTGTGTTATCTCCATCAAGAAACATCTGGGATGATTTTTATGCCTATGTTGGCTTTCTCTTGCTAATCAGGGACAGTTCTGTGCAATCTCCCACTAATTGGTGGGCAAATTTCAAGGGCAAACATTCACTTAAGCAAAATATAACTTGGGTGACTAAGTCTGTTGCCTCTTTAAAAGATATCAATCAAATAATGCATTTGAAAGGAGCGGCTTGTAGTTTTTACTGTTACTTCTCTGTTCATTTTTAGAGCTCACTAAGTTGAGAACAAACCCTATATTTCCTTTTTTTCTCCATTATTGATACTCATTGTTATCCAAGAAGAATTATACAAATGAAGGATGAATTCTGATGACTTTTCTATCCTTTATGATTTCTGATCTTTAGTTTGTAATAAAAAAGTTAGCTACTTCAATTTCTTTTGAAAGTAGTCAGAAAGTAAACCGTAATCTAATTAACTAAATCCCAGGCTGGTTGAGTAACTATAGTAAGAGAATGGTTAATTCATTTCTCCCCATTCCTTCCTCCGAAAATAATGTCTTCTTTCACGCGTCTTTGTTATCGATATAATACTGACATACAGCATACTGACTCTGTCAACTTTTCACATTATTATTTAGCTGTCACTTCTGTTTGTAGACAGTACAAACTCTTCACATGAACAGTGCTCTGTATACTCTATGCCATTGTTTACTACTTAAGAACTGGTTCTTTCATCAAAAACGAGGCACCACAAACTTATCTCCTCTGTTGTATAATCACTTGATGCAGCACCTCTTTCACTTCCCATGGCCTGGTCTTTGAAAGGAAAAGAGGTACATAGGTCTAGTAATTATTTCCTGGCCTGTGGTGCAACTTGCAGGAGGAATTAATGGCAAAGACTTTGGAATCTTGGATTTGCATTGCAGTCAGCCACTTTCAGTTATTTGATTATTGGCAAGTTTCTTAACTTTTCAAAATATTAGTTATTCTTTTTTGTAAAACAGGATTAACAACAATAACATCTCATAGGGTTGTCACAAAGATTCAATAATGTAATCACAAATACTTATCATTATTAGCACTATGCCAAGCACACTGTAAGTTATTACATTTTCACTCATCAGATATCTATTGAGACTTTATTATATATGCAAGGATATAACAATAAAGCAAAACCCCTCCTTCATAGAGTTTGCATGAATTTAATGTTAGCAGACATAAGTGCTGGGGTGGGGGTGGGGGGGACGCTCATCTAATGACAGGACTGAAATTGAGTGGGTTGTCTAGAAAAAAGGCTCAGCACTGTTAGCTCTATTCAAATGACTTAGATTCAGTGCCTGTCCCTAGATTAACAAAATATAGTTATGAGTAGCATAATGGTAAGGATGATACTTCAGGGTTGGCAACTTTTTCCTGTAAAAGTACCAGATGATAAACAGACAAGGACAATAAAAACGTACACAAACGAGTGTGGCCATGTTTCAACAAAACTTCACTTATAAGAACAGTCAACAGGCTGGGTCTAGACTGTCCCCCACAATAAACACAAATTTTATCATTAAATATAACAAGACTCACTTTAATCTTCCATCATAATAAGCAGGAGTTCCCAAGACAATGGTTTTAATGAAGAAAGGCTGATTGGTATGGTTCTCTTCATATCCACCAACAATGCTAAAGCCCCAACTTCCCAGGTAGCTTCTTCGCAAAACTATATCATGGCAGCTATGAAGGGCACTATTAGTAAAAAGAAAAACCATGGAAGAAATTGATGTTGCGGTTTTTATAGCCTAATCATCTTTGTTATAATTCCATGTTATATTTATCACTTCTGGAAAAAGAAAAAGGGCTCCTTATTTTGTTCTACATGTATTATTTTGACCACCCATCTTCTAATAGATACAGCTGTAGGTGGACTCAAATTTCTCCAACTCCGTTAGCCTCCTTTTCATAACATACACACACACATACACAGAGAGAGAGAGAGCTAAAATAAATTTGGTTACAATTTACACCTCAGAAATTAAAAAAAAAAAAATGGTGCTGTGCCTATTCTGATACTCAATTGTACTTAGAAAATTGTTATCTACAAAAAAAAGGTATGAAAAGGTCAAGTATTACTGACCTGGCTTAAATAAGAAGGAAATACACAGTAGAAGTTTCTAAAAAAGCAGTAAGATAGTGATCCCTTTTTAAAATCCACTTGAGAGATGTGTTTGTTGTTTTTTTTTTTTTTT